TTTTTTTGCATCAAGATAATGTAACTTCTTCAGTTTAGTTGCAATTTTGCAATAATATTAGCGTTATCTCGCGTCTTATTTATTTAAAATTATTTAATTATCTATTTTTTATTTAGCAATTTATGGAGCTTTTAAAGTAGTATTATGTTCTATTCATATGTTACAAAATTGATTGATAAAACTTGTCTGTTTTTACATAATTCTTCCAAACATATCAATTTTATACTAATATAAAATTAAAAACGCAATTATATACTTTACTCGTAAGCACACTTCGTAAACTTATCAGGCGCGTTTTGCGAAACTCATATCTCGGCAAGAGTGTCCGTTGTTTTCGCCAAGCGGATTTTATTTTTAAATCACCCGTCGCGATATCATCGGCCGACGAAATTGAGCATTGCGAGAAAATCTCTGGCCCCGCTTCCGATCTCGTCGGGCAAGAGGAATTTCAATTAACAACGCGGAGATAGGCCGGCACGATGTTTATCTGCCATGCGTCTGACTGAAAACAAGCCGCGGCAAACAGATGGACGAATATCTGACCGCGTCACTCGCCTCTCGTCACCCACTGACCTAGTAGGAGTCAATTTCACCGAGCCCGTGCTGTTTCTTCGTTCGGTATCGAGACACAGCAGCCGACCGGGCGCGGCGACCGGAGAGCAAAAGTTATTAAATATTCCATTATCGGTATTCTTGCACTTGCAAGCGGCTTAACGGCCCGGCCCCGCTTTGTGTTAGCTCGGATCCCAGTTATTCGCTGGCACACCGGAAGCGCGCCGGCACAGGTAGCGCGCGCTGCCTCTCCAGCTTCCGAAATTGCATTCCCTATCTTTGTTCCCTTCGCCGGGACGAATTATTATTAATAATGCAACGTACGCGACTTTGCATAGGGTGAACCTCGCAATTGCATGGCTACGCTTACCAACGTGTAGACAATGGTTCCTAAAGTTGCTCAAGCTCCTCCTAGCATATTTATAACTTGGAGCTCGATCCCCAAGTCGCGAAAGTATTCATAACAACTTTTAGCTGCACTGGAACACGCGATGTGATGAGTGAAATTTATTTTAACGTGTTTTAAAACTAGATTAATTCATCCAATTGAGTAATGTAATACTGCACGAGAAAGCCGTTTAACATTTTGAAGTGATCGAGCATCTTAATCTGCGCAATCACGCGGAGAGATGTGTCGAACCGAAGCAACTATGTCGCTTTAAAACTAATACCTAACCGGCGCGATAAACTTAGGACTTGACGACAGTCCCCGCTCTAGGCCCCATGAAAGTTACATCGTCCTCGCCGGAGATGATCGATCTGGTGTGCGGACGCGATTAATACCCGGTGGCGCATCTGGAAGCCGCGCACGTGATTGTGGCATCTGGACGGCACCGTTAGGCGTGTTTCGTCTTTAAACAGCCAACGGCCTTGCCATGGCTTCGCGAGATACACAGCTTTCTCTACTTTCGCTTATGCGAGATTTTCAGGTTGCCGTTTAGCGCCGTTTGGCCAGTGATCCGAACGACACCGAGAATCATTCCATTACAGACGAGGAGAAAATTCGGACCTATCCGGTATGCAAAGGATCAACGCCGCCTCCCCACGACTCGCTCATTAAACCGATTCTCGTGAATCAGTCCATTAAATTGCACTGTATTGGGGGCAATTAGCGGGATAACTAATTTATACGGAGAACAAATTTGGCTGCCATCGAACTGGTCCTAAAAGATTGAATGATAATGTCTGCTTAATCGGGATTACTGTAATGTGCTCCCTTAAAACAATATTGATTATTTATAATTGTCGCTTATACGTAACTATAATTTAATTAGCTCCGATATTGCGTAAGAATAGTCCGATTGCTTCTATCGATTTCCGAGCAGAATATCCAACGGAGAGGCTAAGAGCGCTAGATGCTACCTTTAAGAATACCATCTCGATCGTTGCGAAATCTGTTAGCATGCTTTCCGCGGATAAATGGAATTTGATCGTGGGTGCACCTCCTCTTCGCGTGACACAGAAAAATTATCCAACAAAGACTTTACCGCTGGTAAAAGTGTAAATGTACACAGATTACGCGAGTAGGCACTTGTGAATAATGAAGAAGAATAATGCGGCCACGTTCACGATTGCCGCATTATGCTTCTTACAACGTATCCCTGCAGAAGCGTGCTTAGATATTTGGTACACTCTCCAATCCTTTCGTGCACAACAACGTGATGAACCGGGCTGGCGCGATGTACGATCGATCTCGCGTACAATCTTTCATTCACGATCGCTCGATCGCGGTTGAGAAATCTGTTGCTCCGCGGAATAAAAAGTCTCATCAGCGGCGAAATTAAGTTTGCCTCGGAGCGCAGTTAGCATAGTTGAATTACAGTTGAATGATGTTATTCTTTTAAGTTTTGAATTCCGCCATCTTGAATCCGCCATTTGGAATTATGAAAATCTGATAACGGATTCGTAATTGGCGACCCCGAAAACCCTTGTATACAAAGTTTCACAAAAAAGGCTCAATAGAAAAATGTATGCTTGAAAGGGTTAAACGAAGCGACAAAAGAGAGGCTGCGTCGGAATGCAACCATCGGGGGGGGGGTGGCCGATTGGTATTTCACGAGGTTACCACTATTTTTCTCCCATTCTCGCGTTCGGCCTTTCTTTTTCCCCGATTCGCCGATCTGCAGGTGGAGAATAACTGTAAAACTGCAGTATGCGACGTATTCCGTATTACAAGCCGCGAGCGTGCGAGCGCACGGTGTCTTCCATATAACGACAGCGTAATGCCGTTAATCTTCCTTAATTAGCAAGGCGGACTCGGCAAGCATTTAGGATAGAGTGAGAGAGGGAGACTCGCTGTAGCAGTGGTTTATCGCGAGCCACAATGAGCGCGATACGCTCTTCTTCAGCTCTTCGCGATTTAATTCGAATTTTGCGTGCAACGTTGTTATAAATAATTATATATCCTCGCTCGGGGATTGTAATTAGTTTCCGCGTCTCTAATTGCCGACGAAAAAACTCCAAACTCTCACCTACTTCGCTGTAATTAGTCAGCAAATTCTTTTTAATTATGGTGAACAAAATTATACAGGTATAATCATATACCGCATCCACAGCACATATGTATTAAAAACTTTAGTAATATATCAAGGGTGGACTAGTGTAAATTGGCAACTCGATAACTTCTATCTCAAAATTCGAAGCGCTTTCTTGGACTTTCGCTTTCAGTTTTCTCGAGGACCGCGGGAGGATCGGGTCGTCCTTAATTCGTAGCGTCATCGATACCCGTCGCGAATCGAATTCGGATCAAGGCCGCGACAGTCGAGACACGCGAGCGAGATTTTCAGAGCAATTACGAAACCGGAATGAGCCCCTCGATTATGGCGTATAAATTGGAATATGCTGCCGCGATGGACGCGTCTCGCGATTGCACCGGTCGTAAGATTCTGACGATCCTTTGCTGGATGCAGATCGACCGAGAAACGGATGCGTAGGACGCGTCCTAACGAGAGAGACATTTCTCGATGCGGGATTTTCCTCCTCTGCACGCGGATATCTTCTCCGCAACGCGTCTGTACCGCGTGATTTTAATGAAGTACATTAATCCCCATTAACTCGGACCGGGCGCGCTTTAAAATCTCGCGGAAAGGCTGTTCTGTACTAATGATCGGATAAATATCCATCCACACCCGCGCTTTTTCGTTCGCTGCCTCACATCTTACAAGTAAATTCCCGCCTTTCCTCCTCCGCGGGATGGCGGTCAAGTTTGCGGGGCCTAAGCATGCCCCACTTTCCTCATTACCGAACGATTGTAACGGATGATAACGCGACGGGCGAATCAGGGGGGGGAAAGAAATAATGAAACAGATCTCCTCGTGATTTCTCGGAATCTTTTATTCAAAGGTTCGTCGAGAACGCTACGTTGGTAATATCACTTAGTTTTACAAATATACATACACACGATTTAATTTTCATATACACATATATATATATTTTTTCAAATTTATATATATATACATATATATTTATATATATTTATATATAACTCGGTAGACCCTTAAAAAAATAAGGGCACACCTTGAATCGGGGAACAATTCATTTGGCGGTCTTGGAGAATTATTTCGGAGGACGGAAGGGGAAGTTCGACGGGAAGAAAGCGCCGATAGATCGATATCGGTCGTGGCTTTCGTCGTGGAATCGGAGATAGAGCGAAGGGGGACACGGTTATATTACATATGGAATCCCACTCGCGGATCGCCGCCGTCGAAGAATCCGCGATTTCTCCTCGTGGGATCGGGTGGGGCTCGACATTTTGCTTTTGCTTCTGCCGGTATCGAATGGTATGCGCGTGGCTCTCGTCATCGTCATCGTTAAACATCGTCGTCGTCGATGATCGGTCCACGTGGCCACCTCGAGGATTTCGAGGATGTCGCTTTCGGGAATCTATCACAGATCGCTGGCGCATGTTAGCTTGAAACACCAGCTGATAACGAGACACGCGCGAAGAAAAAGAACAGTGGATTTTCCTTTGATAGCGTGCAGTACAAATTTCGGGTGTAACTTGAGGACGAAGCTGAACGTTATTACCGAAGGGACATCTGTGAATACGAAGCGAAGAGAGCTTCATTTTACTCCATTCATCTTCAGTCCACACTGGACTCCGTATTATTCCAACTGAACAGAACTAATCATCACAGATACGTCGTTCTCGATGATGAAAATAGCGAAAGATATTGGCAACTAAAAGCGGTCACCGGAATCTAACGGACTAACGACGATCTTTCTCCTCGTGTCTTCCGTGTATATTTCGTCGCTGTAACCGCCGCTACTCTCGAAAGTCTCATGGATACTTGGCTGACGCGTTGGTCGGCGATTTCCGGTATCGTGTTTGAAATCGCGAGGACTCGCGACGCACCTTTCGACCGACGTCAGATTGAGTTACGGGGAGGAAAGGATCGACAGGATTGAGGAGAAAGGAAGAGGCGAAATTTGACTTAGACGAGAAGGAGAATCGCGCTCGGCAGTTTAGAAGAAGCCGTCACCGGTCGGGTCATTCACCCAAGGATAGTTGTTGGGACAGCGCACGCAGGTCTGGAGATTGATGGTCTCGCCGGGTACCTCCTTCGAAGTCAGCTTGCAGGTGTGGGGCACCCAGCACGCCGGCGGTCCCTCCACCGTGCACTTCTCTCGCCAGGGCTCGAAGTTCTTCGATTCCGTGATGGTGCGCGGATTCTGGATCCACTGAATCACCTGAGTCATCGTCACGAAGTACACGTCGTTGTGGCTCTGCAGGATCTCGTCGATCCAGTACAGGAAAGCGTCCAGGAACTCGGGATTGTTCTTGAGCCAGGCGGCATGGAAGTAGAGGCCGAGGGGCGCGCGGTTCTGCTCGTAGTGACGATCGAAGTTGTGGTTGAGGAAATTGTAGAACTGATCGCCGGTCAAGATGTTGCTGCACGAGTCGACCATGGCGCAGCCGGGCAGATACTCGTCGTTCTGCGGATCCTCGCGCCGATCCAGCTCGTTCATCACCATCTCCCACACGGCGTGCGATCTACGAACATTGGTTCGTTCGTTTCAACAACTGTCGTTACGCCAAGAATTATTTAAGAACAAAGACTGATCGCCTCACCTGGTGGGACAATGCTGAAGATTTCCGTGACAGCGATGCGGCATCCTGAAGTACATGGTGTACGGCCACAGCGGAGGGTTGTTCAAGGCAGCGGTGATGGTGGAATCGTACAGGAAGGCCTGCTCCTCCATCATGGTAAACTGATTGTTACCGCCAACCCGCAGATACGGCGCCCTGACGCCGACCACGCTGTTATCCGTCAGATTCGCGAACTTCTCGGCGATGATCCTCATGCCGGCCATCTCCTTGGCCCAGTCATCGACGGTCGCGTCCGACCAGAAGCGCTCGTCGTCGTTATGCCTTGCCCCAAAGTTGTCATGTAAACATTATGTAGTGACCGTGTTCTGATTTTTAACAATTATGACTATGGTCATGAGCGACATGACATGGCGCATCGTAGAAACAGGAGTACTCGTGAACCTGTTCTGCAATTTACGAATTCATGAACCTGTTCTCCTGGGACCTTGCGGACGAACGGGTCTCTCCGTGGTGACTCTCGCAACGAGTGTCAAGTCGGGGCGAAATGTTCTAAATGGCATGTAAATGAGAGAATGGCAATGTTATTAGAAGAAGTCAATTCTTACGAGATTGAATGGACGGCGATCTCGTGGCCTTTCCGGTGCATCTCCTGGACCGCGGAATAGTTGGTGTACTTGTGCGACACGAAGAAGGTTGCCTTGATATCACAGCCGTTTGGATTCTTGCGCTTGCCATTGAAGATTTCTTTATAGAGGCCGATGTTGTTGTTGTTGATGGCGTCGTCGAAGGTGATCGTGACCATCTGAGGTACATCCTTGGACGGGAGATCGCCGGGTAGCGTAGTACCGTCCTCCGAGCAGAAACAATCAGGCAGGGTACACACGGCGGGATCGCATGGTGGAGCTCTATTGGGATCGTTGTCCATGTCTGGAATGTCGAAAAGATCGCGATCGTCTTAATGAATTATAATGTTCCAATAAGTTAATGTTGCGCGTAGTAACTTTGCAACCTGGAATGTCGCTAAAAAGAGTCACCGATTTGACGTTTTAACTTACCGCAAATATTCTCATCGGAACCGTCCGTGCAGTCTTTCTCTCCGTTACAGAAGAGACCCCTCTCGATACAGGATCCGTCACCACACGCGAGATAGCCGTCCTGGCAGAGCGGTTCTTCGGTGTATAGCAGGGGCTTGGCCTTCCTCTCTTTGTTCTTCAGTTTACAATTGTTGACGGAATCCTTCCAGTCGCACGTTTGCTTGTCGATGTCGAAGTACAAGCCGGCCGGACATCTTATAGCCTGCAGACCGGAGCTCGTGCACTGGATAACGTCACGGCAGTTATCACCCTCGCCCGCGACTAATCTAAACCACTCGCCCGCATCTTTATCCTTGCAGATCTCGCTCTCGAAACTCTCCTCCTTCTTCTCCTCCTGCCGCTTAACTCGGCTCGAACCTTCTGAAAGAAATCGATGTTGTTTGCGACGTGATAGCCATTTTACCTTGTCTATCATTCGTTATATATTCAATTTAGTAGTGGCATAAATTTCTATTTAAAGGAAGGCAGATTATAATAAGTACAATACTCCATAGTCTTGTCACTTATGACAATTATCGTAGCGCTACAACTACGTATAAATAATTAATGGTACTTATAATTATTTTATTACATTCATATTATGTCTATCAGCTCATTAAAGTAACTGATTCTTTCGTGCATTTTTACACAAAAAGAAGACGCGCGAAAACAAGACAAGATTCGTCTAGCGAGCTTATAAACTTAAGAATATTATTCTTTATTTAATTAATATCTCAAGTATCGACTCTTTAGACATACTATTCAAAATTTTGTCAAAATCTGAGAAAATAGTCTGGCAGAGCACGTTCGGTCCCGTTAGTCCCCCGGGCTCGCGAGACCGCTTCGTGGCGGAGCGACGAACAGGGAAAGTTGTGCCCCCACCCGCACCATTTTCAGAGGCTCGGGGCACGGCAGTGACGTCACCCATCCGGGACCGACCGGATCGAGAAGCTTTCACGCTCTAATCTCTTATGCAACTTGTCGTCTCGATGATCGGTTCGGCTATGTATTAAATTATTCCTCCTCTCGCCACAAGCATTACTTGTCTGCGACGTGAGAAAAAAAAAGGCAAACCAGCTTTGAGATCTCGGGGTGGAAAATACAAGAATAGATTAGGAAAATGTCAAGCGCCAGATTGCAGTAGCACTTTCGCCATCTTGAATGGCTCTGCACGGTCTCACGTGTCTCACTTATGCGATATCCGAGATATTTCACCTTTGATTACGCCTCGTATACTAATCCTTGCAACTGAGTAACATGTTTCTAGATATTTACTCTTGATCTCTGCTTAAAAGATACAACACGTATCTATCATAATTTAATTAATGTGCGGCTTTAGCTATTCGAGATTCTTATCGGCGCTTTGGAGAACGTACGTTTAATATTGCCTGCGGTATCGCGTTTCCGACAGGATTATCTTAGTAAATCTCGTATAACGTATGAAGAAGACGTAAGCTAAATGTAGGATGGAAAATAATTAGTCCATTTAACTGAAGAAAGAATTTCGTTCAGGTCGCGCGGTTCTGCAGTCTTCATAAAACTCGTCTCCTACATATATCGTGTTCGGTAACGCATGGAGAACTCTCTCACACCGCCATGCGAGAATACGGTAGCCGCATATACCGGTAGAATAGATATCGGCGACGGCGAGAGAGCCGGGCAGAGAAATCTGTTACTCACCGACAAGGACGAAAGCTGCTACCAGGAGCAGCACCAGCGAGGACCTCATACTCGTCCTGACCCTCGGCGGGGAATGCAACTTCCTCTTTTCGACTACGTCGTCGTCGTCTTGCCACGAGCTGCTTACAGATACCACCCAACTCTCTATCCCTCAATCACTCCCGTTCAACTGGCGTTCGAAACGCTACCGTTCAGAAAGGGATGAAAAGGAATCGGTCGGGGTGGGATGGTGACGTAGCAACGTACCCGTTCACTACTTCCGGGATGGGACAGGGCGCGGGGTTAAGCGCTGAGACAGGGTTCCGATTCTTGCGACGAGGGAGACCCAGGATAGATCTCGGCCGCGAGATGCCCCAACGGTGATCCTCTTTGTGTAACGGCACACGAGTCGGGCGAGGACGAGTAATGCCTTCAAGGACGCGGACCTTGAAGGTGTAGGTACCGCTCACGGACTGGCTGAGGCCCGCCACTGGCCGGGCCTTATATTGCCACCACCACGACGGTGCGCGAACGTGGGTCCCCTCTTTCTCATCTTTGAGCATTGCCGCCCGCGTAGATCGTACCTCTGCTGATCCAGGAACGTACGTATCGAAACTACCGAGACACCTTGTTTCCCGAGACACCCCGGGCGTGATATATCGCCGCGGCGGACGCGGACCTGACGGGACGTGGGGCTTTGGAAGGAGCGAGAGCTGCATCCTTTCAAAGTGCCGAACAATTGCTGGCTCGACGACACTGCAATCTCTGACATTCAACGTGGAATCTGTTTCTCACCTTGAAAGTCACATCCCGCTCGATATAATAATGCTCGAATCGTGTGATAATCTTTGAAAATAATTGAAATATGTTACGAGAATGTAAACTTGTAGTAGCGCCAGTGTGAAACGAATGATTTTCCTATCGCGCTGGATGCAGATTCAATTTCCCGCAAAGTTATAGGAATCTAAATATCTCCTTGAAGATATTTTGATCTATGACTATCATTAATTATCTCTTCATTCGTAGGAAGGGAATAGTAATTGGTCAATAATTTCTCGGCGATATGAAAGCACAAGGTACAACAATTCATCTAGCGTCGGTGGTAGGTTCCAGGCACACGACCTCGACCTAGGAACATAAAGAGAAGTGTTTGCGTCGACTTATCTCTCGGCTCTAAGTGCTTTATGTGTTCTCACATAAAATTCCCGTGCATGCGGTATATATTTTGCTATTCTCGATTTTATCTTCACTGTTAATTCAAAGTACATAAATTAAATTCAGCGACACGGAAATTTACGGTGTGTGATATAATAAGAATGACGTGATCTACAACGGTCGTACAACCGATCGTTATGAATAACAGAATATTTCTTTATAGCGGTAAGGAATGTTGGTATCAGTGCATGTCTTTTAAAACACCATAAAATTAATAAACTCGACAAATCGAAGTAAGTCAAAAATATTTTCAAAACTCAAAACTTATTGTCTTATTCCTTTGATTGTGTTTTTGACTTCTTAACTTATTAGCTAATTAATTAATTTAGTTATTTTATTATCTTATTCCTTTGACTGTTTTTTTACTTCTACTCTGAAGTTATTAATTTATTAATTTATCTAACTACAAAAATATCTAATTATTCACCCGTAACAATTTTAGGTATGATATGAATTTGCTACCACAGACTCATGAACCCATTCTGTTTCGGCATAAACTAAAATGTTCAGTCAACTTTATGTATTTTTTCGTCTATATACATACTAAAGAATTATTTTTCTATATTGCGGTTTGAGCACTTATAATGTTTCCAAATTATGAAAATGATTCGTCGTGACTAAAGTAAACATCAATTTTGCCGGTTTGGTCGATTTTTTAAAATTTCCCCTTGTTCGGTTACCACTGGGCGACAAGAAGCTACTCAAATTGTTAAGTTAAAAACGTAGCAATAATGAAAACTGGAGGCCTAAGTTGGTATTTTCAACGAGGCTATTTCCGACATGTTTTCACCTAAACAAGGATACAAATCGTCGCTGTCATTTTAGATAAGTTTACATTGGCAAAACGAGAAAGTGACGAGAGCCAGCGAGATGACGTAAGTTTGTCAAGGTCGAAAGAATAACGACCTCCTTCGATTGCTTAGTATTTCGGTGAGTAAAATCAAGGTACACCTTCAAACGCGTTAAGCGTTTCGAAGATGCGATTGGAATGCCGGGATCGCGGAGACTACGTCGCCGTTGAGACGCCATCGGAGAAATGACGATGATATTTGCCTCTCGCATATCGTGGATTCAATTGACGATCCTTAAATGCCTCCTTAGCTCATCGGCTTTAAACCGCAGGAGGTCGTTTGCCCGACGGAGAGAAGCGGGTCCTCAGATCGCCTGTTAGAATCCTCCCTATTGTCGTAGCGACGAAACATCGCAACGATCCCGGCGATTCGAATTGTCCCACGAATTCGTAATCAAACTCGCTACGTCGAGCTTTCGCACATTTTATCCGCGCTTCCGGCAGTGTCGCGGAGCGACCCGAACGTCGCAAATCTAACTACGTGCATCGAGTGTAAACGTCAAGTAGAAAATGGGGCGTTCCCGAGCGTAATTGCTGGAAAGTCGCGCGATATTATTAACGTTATCACTAACGTCCGAGTGTTTTACGTAATATTTGTTTATATCGATCGACAGATCGCGAAAATTCGCCTGCATCGCGCGGCAGCTTTCTACGATGACCTAAGATTTTTACATAACGCCGAGAAATGAAGCGAATAAATATTCGTCGCTGTGCTCGCTGCGTTTTCTTGCGATATTACTTTACACGAATGGAACACCATCGCGTCGCACCGCACCGATCTGTCATCATCATTGTCGTCGTCGTCGTGGATCTGCGGTCGAAAGTGAAACGATCGCGAGCGCAGCCTCATTTATGGACCGGGTGCTGGTCCATAGTCTCGCGCTCCGGTTAATGATAGGCCGATAGATCGAAATATCACAATATCGTGACACACAATGGTCTCTCGAAAGCGGCGGCGGCGCCGTCTCTCAACGCAATTTCACGCGCGGCGCCATAATCACCCGCGGGCGTCGTCCGGGCAGATCTTCTTTTTCAAATGTCAAAGCGGGAGAAAGAGAGAGAGAGAGAGAGAGAGAGAGGAGGGCAAGGGCTCGTTTGGCATTTTGGACGGGCCCGCGCTTATTGCACCATCGACGCTGACTCTCAAGATAAATGCCAAGCGGCGCTCGCGAATCTCTCCGCGGATTCCGGCGCGGATCGCTTTTCGATGACTCGGCGAGAAAAGCACTGTGGACCCCGTGCGCGTGAATGTGTCGTGCGCGAATTCCACGGCGATTGTACACGGGGCGAACGACGCGCTGCGTCAACGGATTCAGCGATTCTTTGATTTTGTTAGAGAAAAACTCGTGCGATTTTATTATTTCAATTATTTTCAGCGCGACTTTCGCCCGGATAAAAAAATCCCGCTCGTGGCTTTTACGGTGCGTTCGCGCGTCAAAAAAAATATGAAGCGTCCCTCGACTCTACGGCGTTTCGTATTTTTCAGCGGCATAATCGGATATTGCGCACCTCTCCATATGGCGCAATCGTCGACACAATGTTCACTGAACAGTGAACTCGAAACTGCTAGAAAGTATGTCTCGATCTAATGCACGGCTACCGCAATAAATACACAACTCGCGTCTCGAAATCAGTAGCTATTTGTTTGATAACGACATTTACTTCGCCTTTCCGCGCTTCGTCTGGTCACGCCGATCTTACAATAGGCGCGTTTCTTTCCGCGACTCGATCGCAAGCAGGTGGCATCGGCTTCGTCGCATCGCCGAGATCCGTCGCACACGCTAGGAATTTGCCCTTTGCCAGATATAAAACCAGCGACCGTGCAAAATGCCACTTAGCTCGCCTAAGTAGCGGCGCGAAAGTATCGAAACGCGCTATCATTATCGTTCAATTATGCGTCTTATCGTCGTTCGGACGTTTCCCTTAAGTTCATTATGCATCGACCGGCACGATCGGTCACGTCAAGTCGTTAAATCATCGTCGCGAGACGCGAAAATCGCCCTCGTGGAGGCGGGAAGATCCTCCTTTTACAATGGACTTCCTAGATCATCCGCGGTCCTGGTCGCGCTCGCTCGTTCGCTCGCGAGAGCAGGAAGTGCACGCGGAGGATGCATTCACCCATCCTCATCGAGCGAATGGCAGGTTACGTTTTCTCGAGTCGGTGCAACGATGATTCACGTAATTGCGATCGCCGAACGGAGCGTGATCGCGGCGCGTCCCTTCCACGCTGCCAGAGTGCGCTTAGAAAGCGGCTCGTAGGCCTCGGAGGATCGCGTTATCGATAAGGTCATCTACCGATCCATCGCCGGCGAGTACGTTCAAACGTTTCGGCACGCCCTCGAGAAAAGTCCGCGAGATCGACGGTGATGATCGTGAAACGAGGCTGCGAGATTAATTTGCCGCGAAGCAAATTGCGACGATCGATACGATTGATTGAATCGACGAATTTAAAATAAAAAAAAGACAAGAACGAAATGTCAATGGTAATAGTATCGAGTGGTAAAAAGTGGGGAAACCACTGGGATACGCAGCGCGGCGGCAAATGTATATAATTTAGTCCTCGGCAAATAGAGTGATCTCGAACATAATCTCACGTTCGACCTATGGTAATAAATTTTCGATCCCGCTGGCCTAATCCCCGCACTGGTGCGGACCTCCTCAAGGAAACTCCTCGAGGGGGTGGAATTTCGATACGTTACGGATCTTAAATTGGATGGGCGGGACGTAAATTCTCCGATCATCCATCGCGAGGGTGCGAAGCGTCGGGTACGTCGAGTCTTAGGCGAGATAGAGGTGGCCTGGTCCCTTGGTACCTCAGAGATTCACCGGTCCCCCTGTCATCGTGGAAAAGACGAGTCTTTTGGGACAGATCGGTGCGGCCCTGACGTGACATATGCCACGGCGGTGAAAGGAAAGAAGAGACGAGGCAGTGGTACGCGGCGTGCAAAAGGAGTAGCCGGGCGCCTTCGACGAAGCCTTCGAGGCGGTGAGCTTTCTCTGCCCGCGGCCAAAGCGTCCGCCAATTACCACTACCAATACTTTCTGCACGCCGTGTAGAATCGTTCGTTCTTACCGCGGGCTCCATCTCTCGTTGATCCGGCACATTGTCTACCGATCCTCGATCCTCGACGTCTTCGACGACAACAATCGAGCGAGGATCCGTTACTCGGTTACTCTCCAGATTTATACTGTCACAAAGTGTTCGATTTAGTTTAATGGTCGTAGTGATGGGTGATTTTTATGAGATGCAACGTATTTATATACAATACGGAATCACGAGAATTAATTGAACGATTAGTGATCATACATCGGTGCGGCCGCGTTGGCGAACAGCTGCTGCCATCGCGAATCGATCATCAAGCTTTCTTCTCCAAGCATCATCGATAATAATTTTATACCGACTTTGTTTTATACCCGAAATTTATTTACT